ATATTTTATTTAATTTATAATTAAAAAAACAAAAAACAATTCCATTTCTAGAGGTTTTTTATCTTATTTCAGCAACAAAACGAAGAAAAACTGCAGCAGCAGCAGCGACAGCAGCAGCAGCGACAGCAGCAGCAGCAGCAACAGCAGCAGCAGCAGCAACGGGGGGGCCCCCCCCAATACTGTCTTTCTTCTTTTTTGTTTTTTCTTCCTTCGATATATTAATTTTTATTTTTATTTTAGTTTTAATTAATTAATAAAATGTAATTAAATGCAACAACAATGGCAGCTACGTAATATGCTGCGGGGGAGCAGACCGCGACAGCTGCTGCTGCTGCTGCTGCTGCTGCTGCTGCTGCTCTTTGCTGCTGCCTTCCAGCACTCCACCTGCAGCATCCTCTGCCATCGTCCGCTGCACTTGCTGCAGCAGCTGCCGCAGCAGCAGCAACAGCAGCAGCAGCAGCAGCAGCATGCAGCAGCACGCAGCAGCGCCTTCATCCGCCCCCGGGCCCCCACCTTAAGCCGGCCGACAGCAGCAGCAGCAGCAACAGCAGCAACAGCAGCAGCAGCAGCAGCAGGAGAAGCAACAGCAGGAAGACTACGCAGAGCCTCAGGCGTCCATCTGCTGCACCCCCCGACTCCAACAGCAGCAGCAGCAGCAACAGCAGCAGCAGCAACAGCAGCAAGAGCAGCAGCAACAGCAGCAACAGCAGCAACAGCAGCAAACTCTCTTTTTTGTCCTTCTTCTAGCTGTATCGATAGACAGCTACATCCTAATATACTGCATGCATTTTCTCATCACCAAACCTCAGCAGCAGCAGCAGCAGCAGCAGCAGCAGAAGCAGCAGCAGCAGCAGCAGCAGCAGCAGCAAACCCCCCATGGCTGCAGCACCTACCAGGTGTATGGAGGCTTCATCTCCCTCCTGAGGTGTATAGGCACCTAGGTTTTTTTTCTTTTTACAATTCAAATAAAAAAGAAAATAAAATAAATAATAATAATATTAATATTGATAGTAATAGCTGCAGCAGCAGCAGCAGCAGCAGCAGCAGCAGCAGCAGCAAGAAATGCCGCTGCAGCAGCAGCAGCAGCTGCTGCTGCAGCTGCTGCTGGGTCCCTTTATTTATAGAAGATGATTATACTGCTGCTGTACCTGACTTGAGGCTGAGAGGCACTGCAGCAGCAGCAACAGCAGCAACTGCTGCTGCTGCTCCTGCTGCTGCTGTTGCTGCTGGTGCTGATGCTCCAAGCAGCAGCAATGAAGATGCAGTGTCAGACTTGCTTCTGCTGCTGCTGTTGCTGCTGTTGCTGCTGCTGTTGCTGCTGCTGTTGCTGCTGCTGTTGCTGCTGTTGCTGCCGTTGCTGCTGTTGCTGCTGTTGCAGTATCTGCTGCTGTTGCTGCTGCGGCATCTGCTGCTGCGGCATCTGCTGCTGCTGAGTCTGCTGCTGCTGCTACACTTGCTGCTACTGCTGCTGCATTTGCTGCTGTTGCTGCTGCATCTGCTGCTACTGCTACATCTGTTGCTGCTGCTGCTGCTGTTGCTGCTGCTACTGCATCTGCTGCTGCTGCTGCTACTGCATCTGCATCTGCTGCTGCTGCTGCATCTGCTGCTGCTGCTGCATCTGCATCTGCATCTGCTGCTGCTGCTGCTGCTGCTACTGTATCTGCTGCTGCTGCTGCTGCTGCTACTGCATCTGCATCTGCTGCTGCTGCTGCTGCTGCTGCATTTGTGTGTGCAGGGTTTCGGTTCGTTTGTCTCCTGCTGCTGTCGTCGCAGCAGCAACAGGAGGCTCAACAGCAGCAGGAGCAGCAGGAG